CAATTTGTCAATAGGTTTAGTCGAAACATCACCAGCAACCAAATTATCTGATGCAATAGCACCAACAATAAAAGGGGTCGAAAGCATAGGTTCATGCAAAAGCTCAGTACCACATGTAACCAAGGGAAGATCAACAGTTTGTATACCAACATCACTGACAACATCAGCTTCCCCACCCTAGAGCATCATTCCAACACAACCATTATCTTGCGAGGGCTGAACAGGAGAGGGGATTTCCATCTAAATCGACATTATTCAAAGCGTTAGATGCATTCTCAATGGCATTTCAATCAGGCGGAGTGGGATTAGACATAATAGGAAGACCAATATTCATAATAGAGGAATGGGAGGAACATTCACCCCTAACATGCCCAATACATATACAAAGATTTTGTTATTTTAAAATATATATATATATAAGAGGGATTTTGATCAACATATTTTTTTTCCAAGGAAAAAATAGATCGCATTTTACGGGATTTTGTAGTAGAAAACTAGTGGTCATACAATAGTGAATGAGTTATATTAATTGGCGGATCATTAGTGACAGAAATAAAAGGAAGAAAAAAAAAGTAATTATAGTTATTTATTCTTTTTAGATTTTGAGTTTGAGTCTTGTGCATGTGATGTGCATATAAATTTAATTTAATTGGCCTAATTGTTTCAAAAAAAGCTAAAGATTCCGTCATTAAAAAAAAAAAAAAAAAATTTGATCGACTTCCGTCATTAAAAAAAAAAAAAAAAAGAGGGATTTTGATCGATTGTTTAAAAATTTGTTTACAATTTACAAGAGAAAAATAAAAAAAGTATAGCATTTTTCGGGATTTTGAACCCGACGTGAATCGAACACGCAACCTTCTGATCTGGAGTCAGACGCGCTACCATTGCGCCACGGATCCTTCAGTGATTTGTCTCTGGTTGACTACAGTTTTAAACTAACAAAACTCTTTAACGACCTCTATGCAAACTGAAAGTTTTTTTTTTTTTTTGCAAACTGAAAAGTTGATTAATGTTGTAAGAACGAACTTGTGAGAAGATCCTTTGTTAATTCTTGTCGTTGATTGTACATTTTTATGGTTTGTTTTTGAAGCAAATAATAATTATAATACTTTCACCTAAATTTAATCTAATAGAATTTTTAATTATTTGATTGATTTTCTTAGAATGAATGTAATAAAACTCAAATTATTTATTTTCTTATAAGAAAAATATAATATTTAAATTGTAAATATTGTAAAGTTATTCCGAGTGAAAATTTATGTATCCAACATTGCTTATTAGTTTTAGACTTTAAGATAAATGGATAGAAAATTAAAAATAAAGTAAATCGTTGTACTAAGATTAGATGGAAACATTTAAAGAATATGAATAAAAATATTTTTGAGAATAAGATTATATTTCTTAAGATTTTGTCTATTCATGTGTATGCTAATATTATGTAGGAAAAAGTAACTAGTGATATTAAAAATGTGGCAAAAAATGTGCTTGGAGTATCAAAGGGAAAAACTACTAAATACTAATAGTAAAAATAGTTGTCGGTTGAATCAAAATGTGCAGGAAAATATTAAAAATAAGAAGATTTGTTTTAAAAATTGGTTTAGCTGCAAAAACTTTGATAAATGGAAACGATATAAAGAGGGCAATATGGAGTCTAATAAATCAATTGCAATGCCAATATTTTTGCTATTAATGATTTATATAATAGATTAAATACTAAGGAGGATGAAAGATGAATGTATAAGTTAGTAAAACAAAGAGAAAGGAGCATTAATGATTTAGTTCAAGTGAAGCATATTAAAATTGAAGATCAAAAAGTGTTTTTATTAGAAGAGGATATTCAACAAAGGTAGATGAGATATTTTGTTAAACTTTTTAATGAAGATAATGAGAATATGATTCATTTTAGTGACCTTAGCATCCTAAATGAAAATAAATTTTTTTATCAACATATTAGTAAAATTAAAGTTAAAGCGACTTTAAAGAAAATGAAGTGTGAAAAAGTTGTTGGACCAAATGATATTCCAATAGAAGTGTGGAAATGCTTAGGAAATGAAAAATTTTCTTAGCTTACTAAACTTTTTAATATTATTTTGAAGACTAAAAAGAAGCCATATGAGTAGAGAATAAGTGTGTTGATTCCTATCTTTTAGAATAAAGGAGATGCACAAGATTGTGCGAATTATATAGGAATTAAGTTAATGTATCATACTTTAAAACAATGGGAGAGAGATATGGAGCATAGGTTGCGGCATGACACCAACGTTTCTCAAAATCAATTTGGATTCATGCCAGCTAGGTCTACTATGGAAACAATTTATTGAGAGGTTTAATGGAGAAGTATAGAGAGAATAAGGAGGATATACATATCTTTTTTATTGATATAGAAGAAGCATATGATAAAGTTCTAATAGAAGTGCTATGGAGAGTTCTACATAAGAAAAGGGTTAATAATGATTATATTCAAGTCATTAAGGATATTTATGCAGTATCTGTTACTTGTGTTCAAACACAAGGTGATTTGACCAAGTATTTTCCTATTTTTACTATATTACATTAAAGATTAGCCTTAAGCCTATATCTTTCTGCTTTAGTCACAGATATTCTCACTAGACATTTGCAAGAGGTTGTACCATTGTCTATGCTTTTCGCTAATGATATTCTTCTTGTTGATAAGACTAAAGAGTGAGTTGAAGGTAAACTTGAATTATGAAAATCTAAAGGCTTTCTTTTGAATAGATCTAAAATTGAATATATGTAGTATAATTTTAGTAATAATAGATCTAGTGCGTGGATTGTGACTTTGGGCGATCAAGTCATTAATAATAGCACTCATTTTAGATATTTTACGTCTATTGTACAAAGTGATGGTGAAATAGATGGGGATATTATTAGTAGAATTCAAGTTGGATGGTTTAAGTGGAGGAATGCATCAGACTTATTATGTGATAGAAAAGTCCGCCGGCAAACCGCCGGATTTTTTTGCCGCCGGAAAACGCCGTCGGAAAGTATTTTCCTACGCCGTTTTTTCCGGCGGCTCGAAAGCCGCCGGAAAACCGCCGGAAAATTAAAAAACCGCCGGAAATTGCTCAAATTCCGCCGGAAAAAGCCGCCGGAAGTGGGTGATTTTCCTGTAGTGTTTGGGCGATCAAGTCATTAATAATAGCACTCATTTTAGATATTTTACGTATATTGTACAAAGTGATGGTGAAATAGATGGGGATATTATTAGTGGAATTCAAGTTGGTTGGTTTAAGTGGAGGAATGCATCAGACTTATTGTGTGATAGAAAAGTCCCTCTCAAACTTAAGGGAACATTCTATAAGATGATAGTGAGACTTGTAATGATTTATGGTGCAGAATGTTGGCCATAAAAAGAGAAGCATAATATTAAAGTGTTACAGAGAAGAGAATGCTCAGAGGATGAGTGGCTTTAATCTTAAAGACAAGGTACGAAATTAGCATATACATGAAAAAAATAGAGTAGCTCCATTGGAAGATAAGATTAAAGAGAGTCATGTTGGATGGTTTGGTCACATAAGCCTTCTAATGACCCTGTTAAGAAAATAGATGTATTTAATTTGACTTATGTTAAGAAAGTTAGATGTAGACCTAAAAAGTCTTGGTTAGAAAATAATAGAAATGACCTTTCTCTTTTAGATTTAGATGAGAATTTCATTCTTAACAAAACACAATGGAGAAAATGAATTCATATAACCGATCCCATAGTGGATAAAAGCTTGTTGTTGTTGTTGATGATTTCTTTTAAGATGAGTGTAATATATATTTAATCTATTAATTTTTATATTACACACAATCTCAAAATTAATTAATGAGTACAAAATCAGTCTTAATATATCAGTAAACATTATCTTGATAAAACACGAATCTTTAGAAAAATTCTCATTAGAAACTTCCAAAGTTAAATTCGGAAGTCATATTTCAACAAATTTATAGTCAAACTGAACATCTCGAAAAGATGAACCCAACAACATCTAAGCAGACCCAATCAATAAAAAAAATAATGTATCAATAAAAAAATTGCTTGACGACAAGCAAAACTATTTTAATTTAGACTTTCCATTGTGAAAAAAATAATGAAAAGATATTTTAATGTAGAGTTACATGCTATATGATTAATTATTATTTAAAATATTTAATTATTTAAATATGATTTTATTAAAACTTTCATAATTAACTAATTATTTATTATCTAATATTAAATCACCACCCAATTATTTAATTATTTTTTCACTGCTAATGATTTAATTGATTATTGTGAAGGGTTTTGCTTTTCCTCATTTTTTGCACAATGAAAGTGCTGCAGCCGCGCACTCATGACAGCGCACCTAACTAAATCAATACTATGTATATCCAACTCCTCTCTCCACTTCCATACTAAAGCTAAAATTGAAAGTCTAAAGGGGCTTAAAACAGATTGTTTTAGTGGTTTAATAGAGCAGCAATTTTGCTAACGAGAAATCATGCTCTAATTTGTATAATTCTTTCTTTTAAAGCTATTTATTAATCCATATAAGCCATCGACATTTTTTTGGACACATGAAAAGCAATAATGGTTCGTTTTCGCTTTTACTCATCTCTCGCGACTCATGAGTCACGACCTCGAGAACGGCTTTCATTAGGCCCCCCTGAATAAAATTTCTGATTCCGCCACTGGTGGGAGGCAATTGCCCCCCTAAGCATTATATGATTCCACCACTAATGAAGCCAGTAGAAAGCTACGTAAGCTAAGAAAGCCAAGAAAGGGTTATCCTTTTCCTATAGCTCATCGGAGGCGCTCCGCTTATGGTTTGGTTGCTTTTTATTGATTCTTAAAATAATTTTTTTATTTAAAAATTAAAATTTTTATATTAGAAAGCTGCTTTAAATAAGTAAGAAAGTCATTCCAACCTGAGCCTATAACATCAGCTTTGCCAAAAGCGGACCATAATCGATAGAACACTAACGTGTGAACTCATTTAAACTTTAAGAACCAACTAAAATTTGTAATAATCACCTATTGAATGCAACAGTTATATTAATTAAAAAGCAGTGCACATGCAATTTAACACTGTACAGTTTTTAGCACAAGCAAAAAAACAGGAGCGCTTGTAGAATCTGTAATGCTTGAATCGACCGTTACTCTGCCATTATATCAGTCTTCTTTCTGCGTTGAGATTTCCTCTTTCTGTTCGATGAAATTCATTTTTCAAATGATCCCCAAGAAATCACCACTGTCGTCAACTTCTTCAGTATCTGCATCAGTATCATCTAGGCCTGAGGCAGATTGGTCTACTGACTGAGATGCAACACCCGGAGTTTTTGCCTCTTGAATGATCCTCATTATCTCTTCGACGCTCTGTATCTCATTATCACCATATCCTTTTTCGAAGTTCTTCTCATCCGCAAGCTCCCTCGGCAAGTTCTTCAGAAACCAAGGATTCTTCTTTATCTCAGGAATTGTGATTCTCTTCATAAAAAATACTCGAAAGATAGTGATTTCAGTATATACAAATACAATAAAACAACAACAACATCAAGCTTTTATCCCACTATGTGGGGTGGGCTATATGAATACTTTTTCTCCATTGTGTCCTATTAAAAGTCAAATTCTCATTTAAATCAAATAAAGAAAGATTATTTCTAATATTTTGTAACCAAGTCTTTTTAGGTGTGCATCTACCTTTCTTAACATAAGTCAAAACTAATACCTCTATTTTTCTAACCGGATCATCGGAAGAAAGCCATTTTATGTGACCAAACCATCTAAGGCGACTCTCTAATCTTATCTTTTACTGGAGCTACTCCAACCTTTTCACCTATATACAAATATAATGAAGAAAAAATGTAGATTTGCAGATTATAAACACTATACCTTGGAAGGGTTGGAAACGAAGATGCGAGAGAGAAGCTGCCTACAGTCAGCAGATACTCGAACATATTCAGGAATGGAGTATTGAACTGCCAAGATTCGCTGGTACAGAACACCAGTTCAGCTCTATGGTTGAGAAATAGTACAAAGAGTGTGAGGTGAGAATTTGCAAGCTTACACTGATTGTTTTTCGAAAATTTTTGGGATCATCAGGTTCCTCGAATGGATATGATCCCACCAGCATTACATAAAGCGTGACACCGCAAGACCAAACATCAGCAATCTGAGAAAATAATATGATAGTAAACAGCAAATCATCACATCACTGTTGTATAATGCAAATTTAGGCCTCGTTTGGTTTCCACCGACATTTTTTTTGGTCTTAAATGGAGGTATTACAACGGAGAAGCAGAATTTTTTTTCTTCTTGGATCGGCAAAAATACGGAGGTGCAACAAAAGTTATTTTGAAAAAAATAGTGTAAACAGAGTTAAATAATAATTTTTTCACTGATTGAGATTGGAAACGGAGAAATTATGACCAACCAAATGAGGCCTTAATCATATTAAAGAATAACTTCACGAAGAAACTACCTGAATTCAATAATTCTACGACATAAAAAATGAAATGCACTAAAAAAGCTAAAAGATAATAGAAATCATCTAAAAAAGTGCACCTTGCCATCATATTCCTTTCGCGAAAGAACCTCTGGTGCTATATAAGCTGGGGTACCAACTGTTGACTTGGGTTGTGAATGCAACAGGGCAGACTACATTCCACAGAACCAAGCTGACAGTTTATAAGAGAAAAACGTTTTTGCCAAAAGAAAGGAGTTCAAATATGAGATACTACCTTTGAGTAGCCAAAATCGCATATTTTAACGCGGGGTGCAGGACTTCCATCCAATAATGTGTTCTCCAGCTTAAGGTCACGGTGACAAATCTCCTACACAATGATAGATTCCAAAATTAGTCTGTGTTCTAAAGCCAATAGCATAAAATGCAATTAGCTAGATAAAATACCATTGAATGGCAATAGCTGACCCCTGATATCAGCTGCTGGAAGAAAAACCTTGCCTGTTGACCAAGAAGATCAAGCCAGACAATCTCTTCTCAAGTCAGAAGATTGCTTAACAAAGAAATAACAGCAAGGAAGCATACGACTTTAAGAGTGAAATGTAAAACCTCATCCTCGCTAAATCGGCCAGCATTGCATATTCTTTCAAATAGCTCCCCACCAGCAGCATATTCCATGATAATAGCTAGGTGATTCTGAGTAAGCTGAACCTACAACCAGCAAACATAAATAGTCATCAGCCAAAAACTGAGGAGCGTGAGATTATCGAAGTAAATAGGTAATCTAGGACTCCACCAAGGTATAAAATGTATTTCCTGCACTTTCCTGGTGTCCATTGTTTATTGGTTATAGAGCCTCAAAAATCTGAGAGGGAAGTCTCATGGTAAGGTTAGAAAGATTAGACATGCAGCAACTAGGATCTCACAGAGAAGAGAAGAGAGAGAGACAGAGAGAGCAGGGAGACAGAGAGACAAACTAAGTATATTAAATTTGAAAAAAAAAAATGACAGTCTGAAAATTATACTTGCCACCTGATCGTACTATACAATTTAAAATTTTACATACGATCATACAATTGGAGATTTTGTAGCTGTTATAAATCTGATTGGGTAGTAATTTCCAGAAGTTATTGCCATCTTCTTATAACAGTCAATTGTTCACGCAGTTTGTAAATCATACATATGGTTAGAATATGATTTATTAGAAATTGAAATGATCCTGCATACAACGTGCAATACTTTGGTTTAATGGCTAGTTTGTGTAGAAAAGTAGAAAAGCTACTATGAATTTTATTATTTGATTATGTACAAAGTGTGAAAGAATAAATTGACTTCACCAAAGTCCTACAATGGCAATAAATTAAAGCAATTCAAAAAAGGAAAAAGAAATCCCTAAAAGGAGCTGATGGCAAGCAAAGAAAGAAAAGACACATGGATTGCAATCTAAGAGCCACAAGAGAATCTATTCAATGGATAGAACCTTTAACCCTTGTGCACAAGGATCCACACCAAGATTATGATAGGAAATAATAATAATAATAACCATGAAAAAAACTGTGCTGAAATCAGAAATTCAGCACTTCGTTGAGCCAATTTTAAGAATTTTGTAGAGAAATAACAAGGAGACACTCTTGATTTAGTAGTAGATGAAAGAAAACAAGTAAGGTATAATGGATCATCAATTCGAGAGAAAGATCCGGCTCTCCCAATCTCTAGCCGACGACTAGAGCCCAAGCAATCACCAAAAGATCTCAAATTTCAGACTAAATTCAAGATAAAACAAACCCTAAGGAAAGAAATCTACTTAAAGCAAAAATACATTTAACTAATACCTAAACAACCTTAATTTTGAATTTTCCTCCCAAAACCATCCATAATGAGTGCATAACTACTACTGTTGGGCCCCACCATGTTGTATGTCCCCCTTACTGGGCGGAACTTTTGTCGGCCTAGCATACACGTGAACGGGTCCAGAATGGACCAGTTTAGCTGATCCCTGGACCGATCTAATAATACCCCCCTCCCAAAGGTTCACCTTGTCCTCAAGGGGAAAGGTTGGGAATTGTTGCTTCAACCTCTCATATGGTTCACAAGTGCCGTCATGTCGGATAGGCTCTTCCATTTAATCAACACTTCCTTGATTCTCCCTTCTCCTTGTCATACACCTTTAAACTCAAATAGCTCCAACACCACCTCCAATTCCTCAGTCAGTGTCACAGGTAACTCATAACTAAGTACATGCTCCCCCAGAGCTCTCCTTAAGTGCGACAAATGGAACACTGGATGTATGGTGGCGTTCAGGGGCAACCTCAAGGCTCAAGCTATAAGCCACTTCTCCAGTATCTCGTAAGGGCCCAAGTATCTCAGGGCAAGTATCTCGTTCCTCATGTTGGCCACTATCCTCTGTCTGGAGGGTCGCAGTTATAAAAACATCTTCCCCCCAACTTCAAACTGGATGTCCTTCCTGTGTGCATCAACTTGCTTCTTCATGATCTGTTGTGCCCTTAGCATGTGCCTCTTCAATTCCTCTAACACCATATATCTTTCCTCCAAGTACTGCTTTATTGAAGAGACTGGTGTGCTCCTCTGCCCAAAATGCACCATGTGGGGGTCTCTTCCATACAAAATATTAGCCCAATAAATAAGGCCGCCACTTCTAAATGGCTAATACAATGAATATCAACTTCCTCTCATAGACTGGCTTCAATATAGTAGGCTATGAGTCTATGATTCTGCATCAGCACTACCCCCAGTCTATACCCGAATGCATATGTCTCCACCACGAAGTTTTTGCTGAAATCAGGTAAGGCAAGAACTGGTATTGTGGCCATGACCATCTTCAACCTCTCAAAAGCCTTTATAGCTGCCTCCCCCCATATAAAGCTGTATTTTTTTCAACTTTTTTGTCAATGGCAAGGCAATGGTGTTGTAACCCTCACAAATCGTCTATAGTACCCTGTCAACCCAGGAAACCCCTAAACTCCCTCAGACTCCTAGGTTGGGGCCATCTCAACATGGCTTCAATCTTAGATTGATCAGCCGCCACTCCCTCCAAGAATACCACGTAGCCTAAGTACTCCACCCTGCCCTATGTGAAGTAACACTTCATTAGGTTGGCCCACAGCTGATGCCATGTAAAACTTCCAAGACCGCCCTCAAGTGCTCCAAATGCTCCTCCTCGGATCTGTTGTACACTAGGATCTCGTCAAAGAAAGTCATTACAAACTTCCGGAGGTATGGTCAGAATATACAATTCATCAATGACTATAACGTAGAAGGGGAGTTTGTGAGGCCGAATGGCATCATTAAGAACTCATAATGCCCTTAATGTGTCCTAAATGTAGTCTTTGGGATATCTGCCTCTCTCATTCTGATATGATGGTATCCCGACTTCAGATCCATCTTGGTGAACACCACTGTTCCGCACAACTCATCCAGTAGCTCATCGATTACTAGTATGGGGAACTTGTCCGGCATGGTCTCTTTATTTAGGACTTGGTAGTCAACACAGAATCTTCAGATCTCATTCTTCTTCTTGACCACAAAAACTGGACTAGAAAAAGGACTCACACTCAACCTGATGATCTCCGCCTCCAACATCTCTCAGATCAACTTCTTAATCTCGTTCTTCTAAATCTGAGGGTAAAAGTACGGTCAGCACTGATCGAGGAAGCACCTCCCTTAGGGTGATGGCATGCTCAAGCTCCCATGGTGGTGGTAAGTCTTGAGGTGGTTGAAAGACCTCGCTGAATTGTTATATGAGTATTTTCACCAAAAAGGGAATATCCCCTCCTATTCTGATACCTTCTAAACTCTGCAATTTCACAAAGAATCCTCCTCCCACCTCATGTATGGTCCTTACCATGATTTTGAGAGACACCATAGCTTTAGACAACTCCGTATCTCCCCTGATCACCACCCTTCTTCCCTCCACCACTATTTCTATCATCAGTGCTCCCCAATTGACCTTGGTATCTCCTAAGGTCTGTAGCTACATCATTCCCAAGATGACATTAGTGCTCCCTAACTCCAATGGAAGAAAATCCTCTCTCACTTGAACCACATGTATCGTCATCACAACTCCCCTACACACTCCTCTCCCTATCTCCACCGTCATAGTGCCCATCATCACCACATAGCTCCCTATGTCCACCAATTTCACCCCCAACTGGCCAACGACATGATGGGAGATAAAATTGTAAGTAGCCCCACTGTCGATCAATATCACTACCTCTCTGTATGTTATTTCTCTTTTCACTTTCATGATTTGATTTGGAGTGAACCCCAACAATGAGTTTAAGGAGACTTCGGCCATGTCAAGATGTAACTCTTCCTCCTCTTCCATTACTGCCCCACTCTCACCTCTCTCCTCAGCTTCCTCATCATCACAGATGGTAAGAACCTGAAGAGTTCGGTCCTTACACATGTGCCCCGATGTGTACCTCTCATCACATTTGAAGCACAATCCCGTCACATGCTTCTCCTGCAGCTCCTCAGAGATTTCTTGAAATTTTCCCCAAATCCCCCTCCTACAAGCTTTCTCCTTTGGGGCCTCACAAAAGTTTCCCAGTGCTAGTCCTTTAGGAGCTAGGAATATAGTGGTCATCCTGTACGAGCCTCATGAATTGCTTCCTCTGGCCCCCTTTCCAAGTGTTTTTGGTCCTCTACTAACTGTGTTAGCTCCATAGCCTCTCCCAAGTCCCGAGTCTTCATCAATCTAACTGCTTCCCAAATCTCTGGTTTGAGTCCCTTCATGATGTTCCCCTCTAACGCTTTATTTGAAAGGCGGTCCAAACAGCTAGCGAGGTACTCGAATGTCTCCTGGTACTCTACCATTGAACCCTCCTATGTCAGGGTGAAAAATTGCTTGTAGAAGTCTCCTCCCATGCTAGTTTGGAAACGTTCTAACAAGCAATCCTTGAACTCCCTCCCACTCCTTATGAGTCATCGCATGTCCCTACACTGGTACCAAGCCAAGGCATTCCCCTCCAAACATAAGCTCATTGTCGTCAGCCTCTCATCCTCTATCAAACCGTTGACAGCGAAATACCTCTCCACCTTGTATATCCACCAATGTGCATCATCTCCCTCAAAGATGGACATCTTCAGCTTCCTCACTCTTGGATCCCCTTCGTTTCCTCTGAATCCTCCATAGCCTCCCATTCCACAAAGGGGAGGTGCTCCCCAGGCGTCCCAATCTTCCCTTCTGTGCTCAAACCCAAATCTTTCTTCAAAATTCCCCCTTCTTCCTTCAAAATCAACACCCCGACTCTCATAATTCACCCCTCTTCTTACAAAATCAGCACCCCTTTACTCGTACCTGATATTCATCTCCTCCCTGAAAATATGCTTTAGCGGAGGCATCCCGTATTCTCCCTCCATAATATTCACCTCTTGATTCTCCCTTCCCCTAAATGGATTAGAGTTTCCTCCTCTTCCTTGGCCGCTGGTGGCTTCCTTCATTTCAGATGTCGTACTAGGTTTGGCTTCAAGCAACTTCTTCAGCATTTCTTCCATGAGTACGAACATTCCATCCATCTTTTCATGGACAGATGCAAATTGATTTTGAAAATCTAAATTTTTTTCTCAAAATTTGATATCAGTTGGCTTAATTCTCCCTCCAACACTTTACTTTCCTTCCGGCCATTGGTATTCTAGATCAAAGGGCTCTGATACCAATTTGATAGGAAATAATAATAATCGTGAAAAAA